AGAAAAGAATGGAAAGGCAGACCCAAAAGGTTAACCCAGGGAATGGAAGAGTGTTTGGGACGAGGAAAGAGGCCACGTTACAGACCTAATAGCAAATAAACAACTCGGTACCAGGCAACCTCAGCTGTCCTACTTTGCCTATCTTGGCAGTTCTTTTCTAAGAAAGGGGTGTTATCATTCAGTGTGAAGCGATGCAGAAGTGATAATTAATATGGCAAACCGCGCCATAGTTGTTGTAGAAAAGGTACCAAGCACTGCGCATTCTAACGACAAAATAGAAGGTAAAAATATCGTCAATAGGAAATCGTAAGAAACTGACAGGACACAGCTTTTGGACTACTGTTCTTGTATGTGCTGTGTGAAAGCTGCCTTTTATCATTGCACATAGGACGGAGAGTTCGAGAGGAACTGGGCCGACGAACCCTGCGCATGCGAGATGCCTGGGAAAGATTGCGCGGTTCAATGGGGCTTTCTGGGAACGCTTTCAATGTTTTTGCCTTGTTTGGTGTCTGGCAAAACTATGCTGCAACTCTAACTTCTCCCTATCCCGGAAATAATATTCGTGCGTCGTTCGTATGTTAAGAAACAAAGACGCAACCAAGCCAGGATTCACCTCTGTATGAGTAACTGAGCGCGTATAAGTAGTTTTTAGGTTTTTACTAGCGTAGTCCCTTGGCACAATGGTACCCTTTCTTCGTTGTTTGCGTTAGTTCTAGAAAAGGGTGGAGGCGATATCTGTTGATGACGTCGTGAGGCTGAGGTTCCGAGAATTATTTAGCCGATAGAGCCTAGACACTAGGCTAAGTTTTATCAAGTGTAGACAACTCAAGGAAGTTGTTAATCTTGAGCACCAACCGTTTTCAAAGCCTCTATTTATCGGCGTGAAGCCTCACTTTAAAGCCTCTCTTCACTTGGAAGAACAAAGAAGTACTACACGTTAATGTACTTCAGTGTAAAGTGTGGCTGTGAAAGGAATACAACAGCATAAAAAAAGGTGATACCTCATTTGAGAGCCTCATAAACCGGCTGCAATATTGTTAAGACTATTTGAGATACCAATTCAACGTATCATCGCACCGTTTTTGTTTTCAAGTAATCGGTCTTCTTGCGTAACTGAGAAAGAAGTATCGTTCGACCTTTGCCAAAACATTCGAAAGTTCACTTCAGAATTCTTGATTAAGCTTGATTCTTTATCATTGTGTTCTGTTTATATTTTGAATTTCAGCGCGAGAGGATCAATAGCCCATTTCCGAATTACCCTTGGCCTCATTTTCAAAACGAGTCCTAGTGCTCATCCTTTCATATGATAAGTTTTCATTCACATGCATATTAAACATTTTTTTTTTTAATTGAAAGAATATAATCCTTTATTCACCATAATCACAAAAAATGGCGGTTGGTCGAGTCTTCGTGAGCTCCGTAATTCTTGCTCTTGTTTTTGGATTGTTTTCGCCTTTCGGCTTATTGGACTCTCAAGTCATCAGTGGTGTATCTGTTGTACCGCCTGTCATCGTCTATGCTTCGCATTTTACTACGAAAGGGCCTTTTTCTCCACATGGAAGACACGTTGCTTCAGTTCCACTTGGCCGAAAGTATCTCTCTTCTCGGGTTTGCTTATACCCAAACTCTCAAATAAGTTTTGATCTGATGAGTGAACAGTGTCGATGTTAATCCAAATCCTGGACCTGTTTCATCTTAAGTCTCGAAAACACATTTGGCTGAACCGACACGTAGGAATTATGTATCCTGCTTGTCGTTGAATGCAGGAAGTGTTGTCAACAAAGGTGTTGATTTATGCAGTCGCTTATCGTCTACCAGCTTTGATTTAGTCGCTGTTTCTGAAACGTGGCTGGATTCTGCAATTAGTTCAGCTGAAATCTCTCCTGGCACGTATCATATGCATCGTAAAGATCGCTCACGTAATGGTGGAGGCATATTATTAGCCTGTTCTCAGGAATCAGAAGATCGGAGCTCGAAACCGAATGCGAAATTATGTGGTGCGACATTATCATTTCAAACCCATTTTCTCGTATAATGGTTGGGGTTTTTTATAGACCTCCTTCTTCAGGTGTTTCATATTTGCTGGAGTTAGAAAAATCATTATGCCTGTTAGAGAGAAGTGGAAACAACTTAACAACTTTATTATTTGGAGATGGTACATTATCCTCGACCTTTTGTTCCATATCTCAAGATTATTTTTTCCATCAAATGGTCTTGAATCCTTCCAAGGGTGACAATATATTGGATTTGGTGTTATCTACGGCTCCTGATCTGTTGTTTGACCTTAGTGTGAACGAGGGTCTCGGAAATTCTGATCATAATTCTATGGAATTTAACATAAAGCTCAAAACCTTACGACCTAAGCAAAGTCCTAGGATCGTTTATGACTTTGGCTCTGCTAATTGAAGTGGTCTGAGGGATGATTTCTCAAATATACCTTAGAATACTGCTTTGTTAGTGGATAATATGAATGATATTTGGGATGCATGGAAAGCTCTGTTTATGGAAGCAGTCGAACGTAACACTCTAACCAAGTTGCTGAAGCATAAAAGGAATAATTAATGTACCATGGTTTAATTCTGAATTAAGAATCCTAGTTTTGAGGAAACGGCGCTTGTGGAGGAAAGCAAAATCCTCAAGGGATCTTGTTAAGTGCGTTCAACACAAGTCCTTTAGCAACAAGGTGAAGGATGGTTTGAGTAACGCGTACTGGAATTATGTTGCTAATTTAACAGCATCTTTGCCTTCCAAGCCGAAAAAGTTTTGGTCCTTTGTTAAATCACGCACTGGTAATTTTAGTGTTCCCAGCTGCGTTGAATATGGTGGCCAATCTGCTTTTACACCAAAAGCGAAAGCTGATATTTTCAATAAATTCTTTCATAGTGTTTTTAGTCAAAGATCTGGAGAGATGGATTTTGAGGTCCTTACACCCTTCACTGAGAGCAGGGTTGATGACTTAACTTGTTCAGTGGCTGATGTTTTTAAAGTTCTCAGTACCCTTGACGTGAATAAAGCGATTAGTCTTGATGCAATTTCACCTAGAATACTAAAGGAATGTGCTGCTGAGTTGGCACCATCAGTATGACAGCTGTTTAATTTTTTTTTGGATCATGGCAAGTTACCAAGTGTCTGGAAATCCGCCAATATTGTTCCAATTCATAAATCTGGTGAGCGTACCTTGGCTGAAAATTATCGACCAGTTTCTCTTGCAAGTGTTTTGGTGAAGTCTTTGGAGCGTATCATCCACAAACATGTCATGAAGGTCCTAACACATCGCAGGCTGCTGAGTGAGAGCCAGCACGGTTTCAGAGACCTAGAAGCTCAGTCGTGTGTCACTCAACTTCTCCAGCTGCTACACTCATGGAACAGTTCTCTTGAGAAAGGTGACTCAGTCGACGTGATCTTCCTGGACTTTGCAAAAGCCTTCGATAAGGTTTCTCATCATCACTTGCTTTATAAGTTGCAGTGTTATGGCATCCAAGGTCAGCTGCTTTCCTGGTTTCATGATTCTCTGGCAGGCCGTACACAAAGAGTCATTATTGGATGTCATTCATCAGAATGGATGGAGGTGACCTCAGGTGTTCCTCAAGGGAGTATATTGGGCCGCTTCTTTTCCTGCTATATATAAATGACTTCCCCTTCAGTGTACGCTACAGCATGGAACTTTCTGCTGATGACAGTGTACTCCATCGTGAGATAACAACTGAAGATGATTGTGTTGAGTTTCAAGATGACCTCTTGTCTGCCGCCTCCTGGTGTGACTTGTGGAAGGTCATACTCAAGTCCGTGAAGTGTAAATCTCTAGAAGTCTAAATGTCAGTTAGTTCATCAGTATGTTATAAATGATGATAATCTGTCGATAGTAAATAAATATAAGCACTTAGGCATTTGGATTGAATCTTCATTGAGGTGGGACTCCCATATCAACTACATCGTGGGCAAGGCAAATCGAGTGTTAGGTTGAATAAGGAGAACGTTTGGGTCCAAGGATCCTGTGGCAGTAAAAACAGCCTTTAATGTTCTAGTCCGTCCTATTCTTGAATATGCCTGCCCAGTGTGGAACCCACATTTGGTTAAGCACATTCACAGTATTGAATCCCTCCAGCGTCGCGTCACTCGATTGATTTCTGGATCAGTCAAATCTTACTCTGAAAGGATAACTGAACTTAACTGGTCAACATTGGAGCTCAGAAGAAAATATCTTTGCTTGGTTCAGCTCTACAAGATAATTCATGGCTATTGTGATGTGGACTATACTAGAAATATTAATCTGACTGGCCCGACCAGAACTACAAGGAACCATGATTTTAAAATCAGACCTAGAGCGGCGAGGACTATTTTAAATTCTCATTTTTTAGCCGTTACGTTAATGACTGGAACTCGTTACCTAATTCTGTTATGTCGGCTCCCAATTTAAATGTCTTTAAAAATCGATTATTCAATTATCGTCGTACTTAGTTGTTTTGTGTTATTTACTATAAATTACTGTATTTAGATTTTATTGTATTATTTATTATAATTGACTCATGATATTTAGATCTTATTGTCAAGACATAGTAGTTCTTCCGTTTTCTTTTTTATCTAGATGTGTGGTTATGCATTAGACATTTCTTTTTATTTTAATATATTCTAACTTGGAGAGCAGTTTTTACCTGGAAATTCAGTTTCCCCCTATTGCTTTCCTTTACCTTCTGCACCTATTTATTGTTTATTATTCTTGTACAGTGGTAGAAAGCATTATTAAACTTAAACTTAATGCCTGTGTTGAGATGGCCGCAAAAACCCCAAACATCTAACCCCAGGGTAAAGCAATTGAAGCAGATGTATCCAGATAACCTTTTTGCATTGATTGTGCGGGAGATGTTGTTGCGAACGCCAAAATATCACATGACAGGGAGTTATTTTGTAAAGCCTACTGTAGGTGACTGTGCAGCCCTGATAAGAACAAGACCATTTCATTTTCTTCTTCTTTCATCATAAAACAATACAATACATTTAAATCATCGGTCAGAATAGAATTTTATTAATCCCTTGCTTTGATCATTCAACTAAGTTGTGAATCATGTCAATTCTGAAAAGATACGTAATGAAGCTAAGAAATTATGTTAAGTGTTTACATAAATATTTAACGTTGATATCAACTCACAATTGAGTTAAAAGCCGTTCTAGGGTACTTTGTATACTTCTCACTCTCTTCTGTTATCATTACAAATTCAGTATGCTACTTTCTACATTATTTACAGGCACACATTTATAAATTATGTTACACATCGAACAAAGCTGATTTCCGAGTGAAACCAAGCAGAACATCTACATCAAACACTCATTTTTTTATCGAGTTTGTATTTCTCTCTTGAAATATTGATAAGCTTAATTGTGCACACGCTTTGATTGGCTCCTACCCATGATCTATTGGAATACAGAGGGCTGGACAACGTCACCATTAACAGTAGTTTGGTTTTTGTTTATCATACATAGCAAAGAGATTCTTTGTTGCCGTGGGTCTGTACAAGGAAAGATCACAGTGACCTACTCGTGCATCAGTATTTTTGTTTTTCTTACCCTATTTTGACGTTATCTGGGATCTATTGCCGCTGAACAGGGCCACAGGAATATGGAATCCTATTTGTTCATTTGATCTGCGTTATTTGGGTGTCAGTTACAGCCTAATGTTAAAGCAGTACAAATATGTAATTTCTATCGCTACATAAGGTATCTCACCCCATTTTGCTGGTTTGCGGTAAGTTTTAAACGTGTCTATTTACTTCCAGCGATGGTGGGTTAATTACTGTCTTCACAAAGATAAACTCTTTCACTCTTGAGAGTGACCCTAAAGCAATATCTCATTAAAGTATCGATATCTGTCAAGAAGACAGCCGATAAGAATAAAAATGTCAACAAGGAGAATATCGATTAATTGAATGACAAATTCTTATCACTATCTTTGGACGATATGTGTAGCAGACATAATGAGAATTAGTCTTGAGACCCTACACATAAAGAGCAGCCTAAGAATTGCCCCGTTTTAACTGGCTAATAGTGATGATTTTTCATCATGTACAATTTTTTTTGACAGTATGACTAGACACTTGCTAATTGATACGCTATCTTACTGACTACGAGGATTTTAATTTTTCTGTTGACGGGGAAACACCTGAAAGGGGGAACTTACTTTAAACACGTTGCTTATTACTTTTAAGCTCCCTAAAGTTTGACCAGCAAATTTCAACCTCGTGACCAATTAAAATGTTTGAATTGACATTATATACCAAGTAATAACTTTCGGCGATTAATATGCGATGGAATCCTTATCCCTCAGATAAAAGGGAATCTTCAGGGCTTCGACGAGATTATAAATAATTTCTATATCACAGCTTCATTTCTGGAATTCATTGACATTGATGCAGGTTCGAAGTCTGAAGACGAGCTTTCTATGGGATCCCCCTGTCCTCACTTTTATCTTAGCTGTTCATACTTTTCATACAGTCATGGCACTTGAAATATGCTTCAAAAGGGAGGTAACACCACAAGCAAGGCATAAATATGGACATAATTCCCATGACCCCCCATCGACCCATGCACTCGTTCACAGACCCCTGGCATGAGCAGGGATCCTCGGCTATTTTACCTTCATCTTTGGTATCTTTAGTGCAGTGGTAAAAGAATCCCTTCACACAGCACATACAGGTGCAACAGTCCAAGAGATCGTGGCAATCTCCGCGTCTCTCCTCCTCCTCGATCGCTTCAAACTCCTGGCAAATAACATTGGTGGCATAAGGAGACACGATCGATGTACTCGTTATTATCACCGGCCGATCCGCTAACATGTCATGCGCCGAATGAAGCCGTCCCCGCTGAGCATCTTTCGGCGCTGGGGTGAGCCTGCCTAAATATGCGAAGTAGCAGAGTGGGGCAGGCGGCTCTCGGGTAGAGAGAGACCCAAGACTCCGTCTACCTGCCGCCTTGACTTGTCCTGTGCTTCGTCTCCCTGAGGCTATCACTAAAGGGCCGCTCGCACTGGGCTGAACGCCATTCACGTGTTTAGCTGACACACCTGCGTCGAGTGTGATGTTCACAGGTGTTGTTTGGGCGGGAGTTGACTTTGAGCGTAACATTTTGTGTCTCGGACTCAGGTTGGCGTCCTTGTCATCTTGTCTTATGTGGTTAGCCTGTGCAGATTGTGTAGTTTTTTGACTGGCTGGCTTTCCTGTTGTTCCAGGTGCTGTTGCCGGATCAGAAATTTCTCTCAAAGTACAGTATTCGCCTCCCAAATCGAGATGTACTTGAGTTGAACGCGACGCTTTCTTGTTTTGCAGCATTTTTTCCTATACCGTCATTTCCTAAAGAGAGATAACAAATTGTAATTGTTGTTCCTACAAACTGTTACTATAAATATGAAAACGAACACAATTCTTTAGATGGCAATTGAGAAAAGTTTTAATCTCATATTATAACCAACTTCGTCGCTGGGATGTCGAAAACCATTTGCCAAGGAAAGATATATAAGAACAATAGTTGGTTGCCAGTTCATCACTTATTTTAACAGACCACGGATGACGCTTTAAATCTCAAAACTAAAAACATTCTGAATAATTTGGATATATCAACAAAGTTGAAATGGTAAATTGGCCACCGTAACGATTACAAAAGCTGACGTTTCGAGCGTTAGCCCTTCGTCGGAGCGAATAGAGGAATTGTGGGTTGTGTGTGCTTTTAAAGGCAGAAAATGGAGCTACGTTATTGGTGGGAACATGGCAACGAGAAAAACACGAATAAATTAGTGGAATGAAAAGCGTTCGTTGATCCCTGTGGGATTTAGACTGCCGGTTTGAAAGATGAGCTTTTGTTCAAGAGTTTTACGGCTTTCCGTGCTACCTAAGTGTAAGGAAAGACCGCAGATTGCCATATGTTGCTTAGAATGATTAGGTAAATTAAAATGTCTAGCGACTGGTTTCGATGTGTCCTTGTCATTCCTTTCCACGTCTCGAAGGTGTTCTCGGAATCGGTCACCTAGTCTTCTGCCTGTTTCGCCGATGTATATCTTTTTGCAATAAGTGCAAGTTATGCAATAGATTACATTGGCGGAGGTGCACGTGAAGTGATCGGTGATCTTAATGGATCGTTTAGGTCCCGATATTTTAATGGATGACAGTGTAAAGAGACGTAATATCCATGGTGAAAAGAAGTTTGTTATGTCATTCCTAATGGCGAAGACCTTCTGGCTCTTAAACATTTTTTTGATCAACGTACTGTTAAGGAA